TGGGGGAAGGGGGGTGTTATAGATACTGTGCTTTATGGTTACTCTCTAGCTCTTTTCCACCAGGAAATCGTGGCAACATGTTTGAAACACGAGAGGCTGGGGGCATAGTTGGAGATGAATATGGTTTCTACTAGGTGCTTTTTATGTCTCAAAGAGCTGAAGACACAGCTTTTGTCTGGACATGCAGTGGTAAAGATAAAATAATGGGGGGCAGTGGCTATCTTAAAGACTCCCCTTTTAACCACTATCACTGACGCATACATGGCTCTTGATACTTGATACTGATTTAGCTAGCCCAAGAGATTTTTAAAAGACCCCTTTTTCAGGCCTGAGTATATCCTTTGACAATGCTCTTTCTGCCTCTACCAAAACTGTCTACCTCTTATCTCCTGCATGGCTGCTCAGTAACTATCAAGCCTAACTAGCTTCTCCAGCTAATGTCCACTTACCATCTCCTTGCCCACCTTGCTTGTTACTGGCCCATGATTTGGGAGCAGGTGCTACTTCTGGGGGAGCTGCAACCCCAGGTTTTGGTTGTGCTGGTGGCACTTCTGGTGTTCTTTAAAAAAATACGGATCCATTATTTCAGATATTGTATGTTTAAATCAAATAAGACAAATATTATATTTAAGGTACATTTGTGTAAAAATTACTTGACTACATATTTACCCACAGATAAATCTACCATAAATGTTTTCCCTCTGCAACATTCCTTTAAATGAATTATGGTTTTTTTTGTCCCCTTTCATCTCTGCCCTTCAATAACCCAATGAGGTAACAGCATTGCTTATTTTCCATTTTGGTTAAAAAAAAAAAAAAAAGAGAAACACTTATGACTAAACACAGTTTAGTTTTTTCTTCAAAAAATCTGTTTTGAAGAAGTGAACATTTATAATTAGAAGTAACAGTATATGCATACATACAGTCTGGATTGGTAGAATTTGCTGGGGACTAAGGCTAAGTAAATGCTCCATCTGGCCGTCAACAGGTTCACCACTGTACTTGTTACTGCTATTCAAAGAGGTAACAGCAACCTACCTGGTCCATTCCCATGAATAAAAGATATTTTAAAAAGGTGTACAGTTTTATTCAATCCTTGTAATGAGGTAGTGCTTTAAAATGAAAAGGCAGTTAAGAGACTCACAAAATGCAATATACTTGCTAGTACACTCAGCACTGTAACTGACTCATTATCAAACTAATTCTACTACAACTAAGAAGCAGAGAACAATAAGTCCTTGATAAACTTCTGCACAAAAGCCAGGCTTGGTTGTGCATGCCTGTAGTCCCAACTACTTGGGAGGCTGAGGTGGGAGGATCACTTGAGCCCAGGAGTTCAAGGCTGCAGTGTGCTATGATCATGCCACTGCACTCCAAGCGGGGCGACAGAGAGTCCCTGTTTACATAAATAGACTTCTGCACAAGTAGACAACACACAGGCAAAAAAAAAAACCAAAAACAAAAACCAAGTACCAATGGTTTATTTTGTTTTTTAAAATTACCACTATTTAGTTTGGTCATTCAATTAACTAAGAGCCTGGCACAATCTTTGACGCATAAAAGGCTGACTATTTGTTGAAAGAATAATGATTAAGACAGCACTATTAATTTTATCCTAGCTTTCTTACTCTTTATTCAATAAATATTACTTGAGCACCTGCAATGCATCAAGCACAGTTTCAATTCAAAGCCAGAGATATATGATGAATCAAGTAGATAGACATCCTAAGCGTCATGGAGTAGAGGTAACAGACTTGACTCAAACATGTTAGAAAAAGAATGTCTGAGTTGGTGGTGCTGGAAAAAAAAGGGAGCCTAATACAGGTTATGACATAAGCAAAGCTGTGATTAGCAATTCTGGCATCTGTTCTACCTTGACAATTAGAAATACTGTCACTTGACCCACTCATGGAAAAAATTAATCGAAAGTTACTGTATAGTCAAAGACTTTAAAGGGTAATGAAATATCTAATACATGTAGCACAACACTTAGCACCTAGCAAGTACTCAAACGAAGTTCCCTGCAAAGAAAGGGGAGGGTTTCAAACTTTAATAGACTTTGACTCACTTTTCTTCTTCATGTTGCTCTTGTTTTGATGCCCACCCTGTGCCATCTTTAGGTACAATGTTCACATTAGGATCATTGCCTTTGTTTTCTGCTTTGAGACTTGGGAGGTTAGCAGGTGGAGGCATACGCCGTGAAATACCAACTTTTCCAAGACTCTGTAATCCATGTCGAGCTGCAACTAAAGATCAATAACATCAACTTTCTTAGAATATCTGTTTTATTACACACTTTAATCTTCAAACAATAGGAACCAGTGGAATTCCTGAACAGTCTTTCCTAATATTTTAAAACAAGAAATTTTAAAGCAAGCTACACACCTGCAACACAATTCAGCATAGAAATATTAAACAATCAATCCATTAAACAGATGCTTTAAAAATTCCAACAACACAACCCAACACACTGCAAAAAAACCTACAACTTTGATAATACTGGTTTTGAAATTTTTTCAGGGAATCTATTTCAAACTCAAAACTTAGAATGTTAGAGAATAAATATGTTGACTTTTATGTTCATAACGAATATTGCCAATGTGCCATACATGGTCCAGTTTTCACTGTATACACTGGGTCAAGGTATCCAAGTTTGAAGAAAAAAAAAAAAACAGAAAGAAAGAGAGGACTTCTATAACCAAAGAGATAGTAAGTACCCACTAATATATACCCCCCAATGCCTATCAATCTCATTGACTGAGGTTTCCCTTTGGAGCCATACAGTTCTACTTATTTTCTGCTGACAAAAATAAGGAAAAATAAAAATATTTTTAAAGGGCTCTGTGAAAATGTAAATTTTTTATCCTTTTTCTTTTTCTTTTGTTTTAAGAGACAAGCTCTCAACTTTGTTGCCCAGGCTGGTCTGAACTCCTAGGCTCAAGTGATCCTCCCACCTCAGCCTCCCAAGTAGCTGGGATTATAGGCACGAGCCACCGTACCTTGCTCTAAATTTTCAATATGATATTTAATTCATACCCCCTGAAAAATGTGTGTATACATAAAAAGGCAACTGTAAATAGGGTTCCATTAACTTGGATTTGTCCTAGCTTCTAACAGCAGTATTCCAAAACAAAACCATGAAAAACATAAATGTCATTTGATTTTACTCACCTGTTGTTTTCTGAGTTTCTAATGATTTACCCTTGTAAGTATTAAATAAACTCAGTGTTGCATACTTTTTCCCATCCTTTGCTTTTGTGCTCTGGCCTGACTTCTCCGACATTTCGGTGGAAACTCATCGAGTCCAAAACCTCCTGCCACACCCCTTACAACCAGTCTTTAAGATGCATATAAGAAAGAAAAATAAGAAGGAAAATTTTAGAATTTATTAAGTGACTAAAAACTCAGTAAATTCAAATGTTCACAGAAATTCTGAAAAACCAAAAATACTGAGAAATGAAGAAATCAATCTTCAATAACTCATATCAATGATAATTTCATAGATCTTTTTATTATTATCAAATTCCAATAACAAATACACAAAAAATCAAAATAAACTACCATCCACTTGACAAACATTTTATGGTTTATAATTGCTTAACTATAACATAGAGAATGAGGGTATAATCAATGCTGAGATGAATAGTTCAAATATAATAAACCTATTGGGACTATTTAATAAAGACATATTATTCAATTTAATAGGCTTGAAATGACTGATATCATCAGCCTATGTACATGGAATCCAAATGATTGGAGGACAACATCATTCCCCTATAAATTGCATACCTGTGTTTTCAGGTGATATGTGCTCACCAAAGCTCTATTAAATTTAACAGTTTAGAATAGGAAGAACATTGTATTTTCTCTTCATTCTGTAAAGGGTAGAACACTTCCTCATAACAAGGTACATAAAAACAACCTATTTCATGGCTATGGACTAAGTATTCAAGAAATGGTGTGCATTTTGTCCAGAACACATGTGAAGAAGCCCCTTTATGCATGAGAAGTTGTTAGAAATAATATATTAATGAACATTCATATATAAACAAAGAGAATCTTCATCTTTGGAGCTAATGTACCCTAATCTTGGAGGTGCACCCTAATCAAAACTAGTCTATTAACATATAGGAAGAAAAGACGCAAATTATCTCTCATACTATTTCTCTTCAATTTAATGAGGTTGTATACATGTATCAACCTAGGGGATTTTTCTGAGGGGCTACTGTGGGAGTAGGGGAGAAGGTAGCTATTAGAATTCTACCACAGAAACCATCAACAGCTAAAAAACATTGAGAACTGAAGCAGGAGAATTAAAGATGGTATACAATAGGTATTATCATGCAAAAAGCATTAAAGTGAAGCCTACATAGACTTTACCTTTGTAAAAATAATTTTATCTATTGGTTTTACATTTGTTAATTTCGGAATCAGCATTACACACAGAGATGTCATTTTATATGCATTTGAAATGCTATATTCGATGTTTGTACAGTCCAATAAAATTTATCAAGCATTCTCACATTTATTATCTCATTTCAGTCTTATGACTTTATGATATAGTTAGTATCCCAGTTTCACAGATGAAGATTAAACTAGATTGGATTTAAAACTAAGGCTTCTGGTCCAGTCCATTACACTGTTCTGCCTTCTCCCATGTAACAGAGTTGGTATCTGCTTAGCTTTCCAAATATACATTTACAAGAAACCACGTTTCCTTGAGACAAACTGGAAAAGGACTTACCTGCAACCAAAAGAACCACACTAATAGACACAATTTGCTATCATATGTAGAAGAATGTATACAATTAATTATATCCCAAGAGTGTTAATAATGATGGTGGTATCAAGAGATGTACTCCCAAAATCCTGCTGGCCACTTTCACCAGTATCACAGACAAAGATATAAGAAGAATATTCATCTACAGTGACAAAAGAGGGACCATAAATATTCACTCTATGACAAAATTAAGATTCAAAGACATCTTTCATCAGGTGAAAAAAGAGAACTAATTGATCAAGAAAAAGACAACTGGCTCTCAAGTTATTTAACACCTAAGAATCCTCAAATTTTGGACTTCTCTTAACATCACTACTACTCAAGCAACACTTTTGGTGGAGACCTTTTTTTGTACATCATCTCCAGAAAGCAATATCATGAGAAAAGAACTCGCTAAAATTGCTAGTATCAAATCTACAAGCCCACCTGTATCTACACTCATGCTTTCCTTCCTCCACCTATTGCTACGGTGGTTCTCGGCATCCTTCGGGAACTTGTTAGAAATGCAAATTATCAGTCCCCACCCAAGACCTACTGAATCAAACTGTAAGGGTGGGGCCCAGCACTCTGCTTTATCAAGTTCTCCAGATTTGATTCTGGGACTTAAAAAATTTAAGACCTACTGACTTATTATAAAAAGATACTTTCTAAGCAGTGATTCTCAACCCCTGCTGTACATTAAAATCACCTTGAGATTTAAAATATACTGATACGGGGGTTGGAGGGGCTAGGCACCAATTCTTTTTATAAAGAAAGTTCTTCAGGTGATTTTCATGTGTAAGGAGTTTTGAGGATCGCTGTAATAGAAGGAGTATCTTTCCTCCCATTCCATCCTCTAATGTCCTCCATACTGTCCCCACTTCCCTTCTCATCTCTGCAGGGAATCTCATCGACTCCTATGGCTTCAGTTTCCAACTGGTTATCTCTAGCCTAGCACTCTGTACTCTGAGGAATATAACCCACTGCCATTAACATTTCTTCTTTGTTTTGAATAAAGTTTTAACTCTAACTAGAACAAAGGCATCTACTTCATAACAAGGCTTTAAGAAGTAAGCCTATTAAACATTCTGCCCAGGACAACAGTTAAACAGTAGTTAAAAAATTAAATTTAGAGTCAATGGAGAAAAGAAAAAACATTTGGCAAAATGTACATGTTACAAGAACTCAACAAATTGAAGAAATACAAGAACTAAGGCTTTGAACTGAGAATTCACTAGAGACATAATACTAGTAAGCAAATGTATAAAAATATTCAATTTGACAATGAAACAAAAACTAAGATAAGATAGCAGGTTCAGCTTGTCCATACTCTTGCGAACAGAGAACACTACAACTATACACAATATAACCACAGAGTTACAGACTATCTCATTTAATTCTAGCCATCACAGAACATTAGAGCACAGAATTATAAAACAAACCTCAATTTCCCTATGTAAAATCAAAACAATTAATACCCAATCTTTCTCAACAACACATCAAAAAGATTATACACAATGACCAACTGTGATTTATCCCTAGGATACAAGGTTGGTTTAACATAAGCAAATCAAGTGATAAATATTAACAGAATAAAAGATACCAAATGATCACCTCAATAAACACAGGAAAAGCATTTGACAAAGTTCAACATCCTTTCATGATAAAAATTCTCAACAAAATAGGTACAGAAGAAAACTTCCTCAACATAATAAATGCCATTTACAAAAATCCCATAGCTAACATCATAATCAATGGAAAAAACGGAAAGCTTTTCCTCTAAGATCTCGAACAAGGCTAGGATGCCGACTCTCACCAGTTCTATTTGACATAGTACGGGGAAGTACCAGCAACAGCAACTAGACAAAGAACAGAAATAAAAGGCATCCATTTCAGAAAGGAAAAGGTAAAATTATCTCTGTTTGCCGATGACATGATCCTATACATAGAAAATCCTAAATACTTCACCAAAAAA